CTTCGAGTTCCAGAATTCCATTCCCAGGCCACATTTTGAATGCTGAGGCAGGCTGAGGCTGAGGCTGAGGCAGGCTGATGCTGAGGCAGGCTGAGGCTGAGGCCGAGGCCGATGCAGGCTGAGGCTGAGGCAGTCTGAGGCTGACGCCGAGGCTGAAGGCAGACTGAGGCTGAGGCTGAAGCAGGCTGAGGCTGAGGCTGAGGCAGGCTGAGGCTGAGGCAGGCTGAGGCTGAGGCTGAGGAGGCTGAGGCTGTGACTGCGACTGCCGTTGCCACTGCGACTGTCATCGCGAATGCGACTACGACTGCGAGAACAGCAGAATTCTACAACTGGATTCTCATCTGAATCTTAAGGGGAATGCTTCCAGATATGCTCCTACACATCGCTGTTAGGTTGCTTTGCGGGCATAATTTTTAGTCGGTTTTTGTTCATGTGGCAAAGTTGTATTTACCTAACTGGGCTTGTATGATAGTTAGGTTTTAAGTGGTGTCAAAAGAGAGCAGCAAATGACTCACAGGGGGGTCTGGGCGGGTGCCGGACAGGGTGCCGCAGAAGTCGTTTTAAGCCAACAGTCAAACACTTCGTGCTCTTCGACCTCCCAGAACTCCATTCCCGGGCCACATTTTGGATGCCCGGAGCCAACTGTAGGCCACTTCGTGCTCTTCGACTTCCCAAAACTCCATTCCCGGGCCACATTTTGGATGCCCGGAGCCAACTGTAGGCCACTTCGTGCTCTTCGATTTCCCAGAACTCCATTCCCGGGCCACATTTTGGATGCCCGGAGCAAACTGTAGGCCACTTCGTGCTCTTCAAGTTCCCAGAACTCCATTCCTGGGCATGATTTTGAATGCCCGGAGCCAACTGTAGGCCACTTCGTGTTCTTCTAGTTCCCAGAGCTCCATTCCTGGGCAGCTTTTGATGCCCGGGGCCAATGTAGGCCACTTCGTGGTTTCGAGTTCCAGAAACTCATTCCTGGGCATGACTTTTGAATGCCCAGAGCCAACTGTAGGCCACTTCGTGTTCTTCGAGTTCCCAGAAAACTCAATTCGGGCACATTTTGATGTGAGGGCTGGCTGAGGCTGAGGCTGAGGCAGGCTGAGGCTGAGGCAGGCTGAGGCTGAGGCTGAGGCTGATGCAGGCTGAGGCTGAGGCAGGCTGAGGCTGAGGCCGAGGCTGAAGGCAGACTGAGGCTGAGGCTGAAGCTGGCTGAGGCTGAGGCTGAGGCAGGCTGAGGCTGAGGCAGGCTGAGGCTGAGCCTGAGGCAGGCTGAGGCAGAGGCTGTGACTGTGACTGCCGTTGCCACTGCGACTGTCATCGCGAATGCGACTACGACTGCGAGAACAGCACAATTCTACAACTGGATTCTCATCTGAATCTTAAGGGGAATGCTTCCAGATATGCTCCTACACATCGCTGTTAGGTTGCTTTGCCGGGATAATTTCTTGGCAACTTCGGATTTCAGGGTCCCCCGCTGCCGGCTGTTCCGGGCGGTGCGCCCTGCCGGTGCTGCTGCCCTGCCGCCCCGCCCGTGGGCCCCGCAGACGGGGCGCCCTCCTCCCCGTTCGTTGTTGCGCCCCCCGTGCGCTCTCCCCCCCCTTCCCGCGCCGCCACGGCGCTGCTCGGCGGCTCGCGGCCGCTGCCCCCGGCTCCCCGCGGCCGCCGCCCGCGCCGGCCCTCCGTGCCGGGCCTTGCCTCAGCAACGTGCGGAGGGGGGTAGGGGGAGGGGGGAAGGCTTCTTAGAAGCACCCCTGCTTCTTAGAAGGCGCGGGCCTTCTCTATAGACGTAAGGCCGAGGCCTTCTAAGAAGCAGGGTGCTTTAAGAAGCCTTCCCCCCTCCCCCTACCCCCCTCTGCGCGCCGCCAATTGCCGCCCGCCGCCGGCGCTGGCCCAGCCTCTGCCGGCACCACGCCCGCCCTCGCCCCGGGAGAGGGGGCCGGCCGCCAGGCTCCTGGTGCTGCTCGCTTGGTTGCGCTCTCGCGCCCGCGGGGTGGCTCCCGCCCTCGCGCGCAGCGCCCGTCCCGCCGCCGGCCGCCCGGTGCAGCAGCCCCCGCAGGGCCCGCCGGCGGAGCTGGCCGCGCCGCGCGCTCGGGGCGTGGCCCGTCCCCCAGAGCGGCTCGCTCCCTCTGCCTCAGCTGCGCCCTCTGCCTCCCCAGACATGATGGCGTCGTAAAAAAAATCAGGACGGGAGGTTTTTCGCTATTTTCGGCCCCTGGGGGCCCTCGCCGGGCCTCGAGACCGTCAAAAAACGACTCAGGACGAAAAACCGGCCCCAGGGAAAGGGTCTAGATTTCCAGGGGCGCCGTCCTGAAAAAATCAGGACGTCGCATGTCTGGGTCTTTTCCCCCGCTTGCATGGTGGCGCCGTTCGCTGCAGCGGCGCTCGAATGTAGGCCTCGCCGCGGGCGCAGACGAGCCCTGCCTCGCCGCCGAGTCGCCAAAGAAGTGCGTCGCCCCTCCCCGGGGGCGACGCGCGCACCGAGACGTTTTCTGGTGCGTGCGTC